CCCCCCGGTAGCACAACACACCACAGCGGAATGTGTATTTCACCACTTAAAGGTCATGAGAACAACCACGACTCAACCAAAGCATCCTGACATCCGTGCATTAGCCTCATGTGCATTAGTGTTTGCAGTACTGTTCATTCTGAATGGCTCCCCAATGTGCTACGGTAAAGCAGCTCCAATGCACATGCGCTGCAGGGAACCACAATACTCGGTAACATGCTACCATGTGTTGTGATGCACTGTGTTACCAAAGGCAGTGCATGTCCATTTTTTTTACATTTTGGCGTGTAGCCAGCCCATTGATTTGAATGGGCTGCCTCAATGCACCGCACGGTAACATGGGGAAAAAAACCATGCACTAACACACGTGCGTTAAATCAACACATGCCATGGTATGACTGGGCCCTCAGGGGTGAGGAAAATTAGGAGTTTTCAATTCAGGAACATTTCAGCGAAATTTATCCATTCAGAAAAATGCATCGTTGTCAATGGGCAATGTGAATATAAGGTGGTTTGTGGGGTGCAATGGGTGTTAAATGTTACCCTAATCCTAACCCTTGGATCTGTCTTCTTTAAACCTCAGTTCTAGCTTAGCCCCTCCCAGTGTTTCGAGTCTGGGCCGGCCAGATGAGGTATCGCAAGGACACTCCAATGTGTTTGCCAAGTTTTTGCTCTGATTGAGTAGACTTGTATCTAGTCCAATGTTTCCAATGTTTCAGCCAATAACATTATTGTAAGTGCAATTTTTATTTTTGTGTGAAAACAGCAGCTATTGACTGAAATGCTAGGATAACAAGTACTGCCGGGGTCAAGAGTACTGCCAGGGTCAACTCAAGAGTACTTCCAGGGTCAAGAGTACTGCCAGGGTCAACTCAAGAGTACTTCCAGGGTCAAGAGTACTGCCAGGGTCAAGAGTACTGCCAGGGTCAATCAATAGGGCAGCTATTGATGGAAACGACCGGTAAATAAGATACTCAGGTTCTCAGTCTTGGGCAGTTAATCACAATGGCCACTACAGAATGAGGGGTACTGCCAGCGTGAAGATTACTGCAAGGGTGAAGAATACTGCCAGGGTGAAGATTACTGCAAGGATGAGGACTATTGCCAGGGTGAAAAGTACTGCAAGGGTGAAGAATACTGCCAGGGTGAAGAGTACTGCAAGGATGAGGACTATTGCCAGGGTGAAGAGTACTGTAAGGATGAGGACTATTGTCAGGGTGAAGATTACTGCAAGGATGAGGACTATTGTCAGGGTGAAGATTACTGCAAGGATGAGGACTATTGCCAGGGTGAAGAGTACTGCAAGGATGAGGACTATTGCCAGGGTGAAGAGTACTGCAAGGGTGAAGAATACTGCCAGGGTGATAAGTACTGCAAGGGTGAAGAATACTGCCAGGGTGATAAGTACTGCAAGGGTGAAGAATACTGCAGAAGGATGAGGACTATTGCCAGGGTTAGGAATGCTGCCAGGGTGAAGAATACTGCCAGGGTGAAGAGTACTGCAGGGGAATGAGGACTATTGCCAGGGTTAGGAATGCTGCCAGAGTGAAGAGTACTCTCAGGGTGAAGAGTACTCTCAGGAGGAAGAGTACTACTCACTCTGCGGGTAGCCTGTTGTGTTATCATTTTCATGTCTGATTGAAGCATACACTGGGGAATGCTATGACGGTGCCCCTTTAATGGAGGGAGGGAGGCTGAGACTGACTGGCAGCAGTAAGTATTTGATCTGGGAGATAGGAATATCTGCAGCTGAAGAAGCCATCACATCCTATTAGCAGCCTGGGAGAGAGGGAGACGTCTGTGTGCGAGTGTCACAGTGACAGTGAGTGGCAGGTTGGAGATGGGGAGAGATAGTTCTCTGCATCATTACACCAAGATGACTTCTACAAACATCAACTTCTGTAGACGTACAATCCAACCATCATAACACCTCCCAGGCTTGTCGCAGTGTAAGCAATATGTGAATAATTTAATAGTGAAAAACTGCAAATACAGAATAAAATGGTTCATATATAATAAATTAAACAGCGTATTTCTTACAAATTACAGATACAGCCGTTCTCTAGGGAGTGTGACTTTCTCAAAGATAATCCGAACTTGTCACAGAATCTCAGGTGGAAGAGTCAATATTACTAATGAACACACCTGCGCTCCGACCTGCAGAGGACAAAACATCACCTGCTGGTTGTTATTATTATCATTATACTGGATTTATATGGCGCCAACAGTTTGCGCAGCTCTTTACAATATAAAGGTGCCCATACACCTTATGTACGATAATCGCATGCGATCGCGTTTTCGTACGATAATCGCAAGGTGTATGGGCAGTGTACAACCGCAAACACTGTACAACCGTACGACTTTTGACTTTTAAGCATGTTTGAAAACTTCGGTCGATCGTACGATTATTGCGAGGTTAGTGGCGTTTCCGTACGTCAAAAGTCGTACGATCTACACTGCTCATGCGCAAACGAAAATACGCGCGGTTGATTACCGCAATTCATCCAGGTGCTTTTCTTTAATTACGGCTAATTGAACCTTTCGATAATCGGGGCATAATGGGGCTGCCGTACGACAACCGTACGACGTTTCGATCATCGGACGAAAAGTGTCGTCCGATAATCGTAAAGGTGTATGGCCACCTTTAGGAAGACATTAAGTCGATCGTACGATTATTGCGAGGTTAGTGGCGTTTCCGTACGTCAAAAGTCGTACGATCTACACTGCTCATGCGCAAACGAAAATACGCGCGGTTGATTACCGCAATTCATCCAGGTGCTTTTCTTTAATTACGGCTAATTGAACCTTTCGATAATCGGGGCATAATGGGGCCGCCGTACGACAACCGTACGACGGTTCGATCATCGGACGAAAAGTGTCGTCCGATAATCGTAAAGGTGTATGGCCACCTTTAGGAAGACATTACAATCACAATACAATTCAAGACAAGATGGTAAGGAGGGTCCTGCCCCTGAGGGCTTGCAATCTAAAAGGGAGGGGCCAGTGATACATGAGGAGGTTGCTGTGTGGGGATGAATTGTTTGAGAACTTGATGGTTGAGTGGTTAGGTTGAGGTGGGATCGGCTTCCCTGAAGAGATGAGTCTTAAGGGATCCTAAAGGCAGTCAGTGTGGGAGATAGACAGACAGGTTGGGGTGAAGAGTTCTATAGGATAGGAGAGACTCTAGAGAAGTCCTGACACAACAATATTAAAACAGCACACTATGGCTGGCTGCAATGCATGTGTGTTGCCTTAAGGTGACCATACACTGCTCGATTCTCATACGAGAATCGCGGGAAATCCCGCGATCGTACGAGAATCGAGCAGTGTGAACGGAGACGTGCGACCGTTTCTACTGTACGGTCGCACGTCTTCCGTCGAACCAGCATGTTCGAAAACCAGCCGGGAATCGTACGGTGCTCGGAAGACAAATGCCGAACGGGCCGGTGTGTGCACGCGCACACTGCCCGTTCAGCATTGCGGTCATCGGAAGCCCGCCCCTCAGGGGGGCGGGCTTGCGATGATCGAGAGTGCGATCTGCCTGTCCTAGATGGGCAGATCGTACGTTTTTTTAATCCCTTTACAACCATCGCAAGACTAAGGTCTTGCGATGGTTGTACAGTGTATGGCCACCTTTAGGCTTCATTCACCCTGTGCACCAATGAGCGATTTGGAATTCCTGTGGCAGGAATCCTAAATATTTTGTTTAGATGTGGCCACTGTCACCTATGCAAGTCAATAACCAGGTGACAGTCGCCACATCTGTAAGCGCATGATGGATACATCCAGCAACAGTGATCTATGGCAAACGGCATGTAATCATATCACATAGCAGCGGCTGCATCTAAATGGAATTTATCCTGCAAGTAATTTGGTATCAACTACGTAACTGCTTCTCTTCTTCTCATTGCATGAAAAATGTTCCCGCTGTGTCCTGTTCCTACTGCTCATGCCCTCCGCAGCCCAATTTATTCCTTTTGGGTGAGTGAGCCATATTACCCTGGATAGCAGACACTCAGCATTAGTACGGCTTCCCCATGGGAATAAAGGGCACGACTGGGATATATTTGTTGCAATGGCTGTGTGTTGTCAGGGAGGGCGACACAATGAAGATTCTCCTTCAGGAATGAGGTTTCCTGATACTGAAGCGACAGGAAAGTATCTGCATTGTTCACACAAATGGTAACAATCATCAAAAGTGTTCCAATAAGATAATTTGCTTGTTGCCCAGAGCAACAGCTTTCAACTGACCAACAGCTTTCATTCTGAATGGTTAATAAGGAAATGAATACATGTTTTCAATACATTATTATAGATATCAGACTCCAGGCTGATACATTGTAAATCTTTTATCTTATTAGTAACAGGTGGTGGACTGAGAGCTGCCTGTTACAAATAATGACACTTTCCTTTGAAATATGACCGGAGCACGCTGTGCATGATATATTTATTTATTTACTGTTGATGTGGGTTATTCTGTAGGCAGAAAAGGAGCGCAGCGTCATCTAAGTTTTCACTACAGACCTATCTCCAGTCAGGCAGAGCGCGGGTCAGCCCCAGTCAGTGGAAGGACCCCACGGTTGCTACGCTGGAGGATGCGGGAGGTAAAGCCGTTGCTAAGGAGACGCGGCCTGCACGATTCCTGATCCCCGGCCTGTCCTGCCCGGAGTGCCGGGATGGGGCTGGAGATGGAGCCTCTGCTGCAGGCATGGAGCTATTTCAGGCGCAGGAAGTTGGAGCAGTGCTCGCAGCTCTGTGGCCGCATTCTGGAGAAGGAGCCCTATGACCAGGTACACCATGTCCTACATAGAGGGAACCTGTGACCAGGTACACCATGTCTCAGGACGGGGGGTCTGGACCCTGGG